AATTTTTGGAGAGCAAGTTCACAGTGCAGTAAAGTATTCAGGACTTTTAAATTCTTTTGAGAACTCAGACCTCAGGCACTAAGGGATGATGGAAGAGTTCTGAATTAAACAGAGTGAAAATACTGAACAAACATATGAGAGGATATTTCATTCACATGGAACGCTCCCATAGTTACACATTTAAATGCAAAATATTGTCACAGTGGACATTCAACACATCTAATCTCAAAATTCCTATTGCAGTATACTTTCTTTGCGATCACAAAAGATAAAGAGGGAGAACTGGCGGACAAGCCTCTGCAGATTCATGTTATTGTGGAAGACATTAATGACAATCCCCCGGTGTGCCAGCAGGCCCTCACTGTAATTGAAGTTCAAGAAAATGAAGGAGGAGGTAAGAAAACAGCTTCTACTCATTCATATACATCATTCTAGTCCTGTTATTGTTTCCAGCTGGGTGCAAATAAAGCTAGAAATTCTGATCCCAAAGAGGTCTCCTAGAGAAATGTTTTCCTGTGCAAATAACCCTGTTGTTTTCACTTCAATAATTCATGTGGAAAGGATTTCAATAACCTGAGAAGGACAGACCCAAGACCATTACTTAAAAGATGCTGTTCCATTTAAAATATAAAATTGCATTTTACCACAACCACAGTTTTGGACAACTGCTTAGAATGTAAAACGAAAACCCCCCTTTTATTACTAATACAAGAAATACTGCTATAAAAGTGGCATGAGCCCATTTTCCCTCATCCAGATGCTCCTCCAGCATGCTGCCTTTAACTTCAACGGACCATTACCAAAATCTGTCCCAAAGTCTTGCCATCAGTTATTTGGTTTCAAGGCTGAAGTGTCTGTTGTTTCAGTCACTTCTTCTGATCAAAACACATACCCTAGCCTTTTTGAACTGTCCCAAGCACAAAATAGCTGGTGGGGATGCTAGAGGGAAACCTCCCAGAAGTCAAATGAATGTGTCCATTGCAGTGTTTTCCATGCAGTTGTATTTTTATTGCCCTTCTGCTCTTTGCATTGGTATCACTGCTATCAGTGTGTACCTCTGTGGAGGAGCAGGACCACTGCATTATCTGACTGATGCTGCTCTCTCCTCTGCCGCAGGAAGTAATATTGGCACCCTGTTTGCTACGGACATGGATGAGGAGGACACCCTTAACTCTCGTATGCAGTTCAAAATTGCAAGTCAGGTTCCTGATGTTCCTGCAAGTAATCTGTTCTTTATTCAGCAAGACACTGGCATTATGCAGTTAAATAGCCGTTCATTAAACAAGCGCATTGCATCCAACTATTCCTTGAAGGTGCTGGTGACAGATGCAGGTATGCAACGACTGCTGTTATACATCACAATAATTTTGTTCACACTAACGTTCCCCGTGCTCAGTGTCCAAGGAATGAGAGGAGACCTGGAGGATTCACTGGAGAGCACTGAGAGCTGGCTTGCTCTGGTGTGGTACTGCCTTGTTCTCGAGATGCAGGGAGGTTAATCATGATTCATAGTGCAAGTATGGAAGGAAACCAGCTCTAGGGCAGGATGTGGATAAATCGTAGAGCTTGTTAACAAGTACTCCAGTACTCCAGTAAGGATTTCCTTCCACAGGGGAAAAAAAAAATGAAGAGATCATGATTGAGGTTTTCCCCAAAAATCTTTCACAGGAACTTACTGAAAAAAATCAAGAAATTAAACACAGCTGCTTAGAGAGTCCAGATAATGTATTTTAAAAAATCGAGAGCTGACATTAATCTTTAAAAAGAATCTTGTCCATTATGTAAGTCCACAGGAGTCCTTCGTGGTTCACTAAATGGAAAGAAAATCAAACTCCATGCTAAAGTTTAAAGCTTTATGCTGGAGTCCCTATAGTCAGGCAAAACTTGTGAATGGAGGAACTGGCATGTAAAGAAAGCAGTGTGACATGTCTGTAAATGAAATAGCATCACTTAGGCAGATGATATGAAAACCTTGCAGAGGGAGAAGCGGATTTGTTTTGGATGCTTATTTGAATTCCATCCAAACAGTTTTGTTTAGAATATTCCTTAACTTTCAACTCATGAAGCACATCTGTAAAACACTAAAAACCAGCTACATATGAACAGCACATGACCAGACAGAGTATGCTTTTAAAATCACAAACCCCTGTTGCTATGGGTGCCCCTGCTCAGGTAGCACTTTGATTTACATAGATCTGAAGTTTAAGTCTGGCTGTAACAAAAATGAGGGTACTGCCTGATGACCCACCAAGACGACAAGGTAGCATAAAAACCAGCAAAACATACTTTTTGACATGCAAAAGTGATATTGAGAAAGCTAACACAATGCATAGCTATCATCATCCTGGTAAAGGGATATGGCTAAAAAAAAGTGAGGGAAATGAAATGGAACAGGGTGGGACAATGCTGAAGAAACTGGGAAGGTAAATAGTAAGATAGAGAGCAAGATTATCACTGACTAAGAGATACTGGAGATCAAGTGCTTCTTACAACAGCAGGACTTTGCTCAGATTGGGCAATTTGGCAGCGCTCACTTTTGCTCACAATGAACCCTGTTGGAGGGAAGTTATTTTCGGCAGAAGAGTTGCGTGACGTTTGTTCTCTTTCCATGCAGCATTCCAAACAATCTGTGATGTGCAAATACATGTCATCGACATCAATGATCAGATTCCAATCTTTGAAAAATCAGATGTGAGTATTTTTAACACCATTTTTGATGTCCCAACAACTTTTGACAAATGTTTGAGCATACGTTCAATGTGTATAGATTGTCAACGGGAAACTAACCATTTACAGAACAAGTAACAGAGCAATCCAGTAGTGAAAATAAAGGCAAGGTATTGCTGCAAAGCCTGCATAAAAGCTCTATCTAGACAGTGAACAGTAGGACTGCCTCGTAGTTAATTCTGAAATATAAGGTAATTTGCTCAGTGGAAAACTATGTCTACAGAAAGAAACTATTCTGTTAAAGCAGTTTATTCCAGAAATGTAAGCTCTGGAGGGAAAGGGGGAAGAAAAGCCTTTAAAATTAATTAAAATAGCTAAAGGAAAAAAAGTTAACATCTCCCAAGTTCCCTTCCAAATACAATATTAATGTATCCAGAAAAGCCAGAAGGTGAATGGAAACCAAAGGCTCTATTTGCTTTAACCACATACAGTGGTCTGGTGATCCATGCCCAAACCCATACCTGCTTGCCCTTGGTTCCAGAATGGTTGTCAGGCTTTTGCCTGTTCGTCTGGTGGAGGTGCTGGCATCTGGCAGAGAGACTTGCAGACCTTCCATGACTTCTGCCTGCTGGCCCAAGCCTCCCTGCAGACACTGCAGTGGCTGGAGTGTCTACATTTAGGTGTCTAAGCTGCCACCATACTTGTAGGCAATGTAGGTGGTGGGCTCATTGGGTGTAGGCGTCCTCTTGGGGAAGCTGTGTTAGTTTTGGGGCTTTTTTGGGCTGACTGCATTGCCCAGTGCTCTGTTGATAATGGGAGCTTAGACACATGCAGACTAGATGCCTGTATAGCAGGCTGTTGACTTTCTCATCTCAAGATCTTAGTCCAGGGCCTGGTCTCAGGATGAGACTGCTGGGTCGGGGCACACATCAAACGAGTAAATGGAGCTGGGCTGCTGATGTGGCAACAGCTTATGGTGCATGGAGCAATTAAATATTTAACAGTCAGTGTCTAGGGTGCTCACTGGGTACAGAGGAGCTGTACTGTCCCTACTGCTGTGAGCATTGCATGAACATGGAGTGGTTTCAACAGAGGAGGTAAAAGTGTGGGACTGTTGCTATAGTAGTAGCTTACCCACTGTCAGAGATCCCATCACCTTTGATAAAGGTATGGCTAAAAAAGGGGATATAGCAACTTTGCAGAGGTTCTAGTGCCCATCTTGCAGCTCTGGGTTCCCCTGGGCAGTGAGGTAGCTCACCTGTACTGCTGCAAGGCACTTCACTAATGCTTTTGTACATCTCTTTAACCTGGTTATGTCTCTGCTGAGAAGTGCACCCACCACTTCCTTCCCTCACAGAGCTGCTCTGGGTTAAAATACATCCTTGTGCTTGTGGGTCTCAAGCTTGTTGTAGCACTCAAGTTTTTATTCACAGGTGGTGCTTGGTGTGTCATGTTTCAATGATCTCTCTCTCCTCAGTATCACAATGTGACTGTTGCAGAAAGTCTCCCGGTAGGAACAGTGATATTAGAAATTCAAGCTACCGATGGAGACGAG